AAATCAAGGCCAGCCTGGGCTACAAAGCGAGTTCAAGTCCAGTCTGAATTGCACAGTGCAATGTCTCAAAAAGACAAAAAAAAAAAGTTTTAGCTGTGTGCACAATACGAGATCATAAAGAAGAGCCACGTGCTGGACTCTCAATGGCCCGCCCCTCATACTAGTAAAGAGTGTGGGACCACGGGCTTTGGCCTCCTTGTGCACCCACTTGGCAATCAGTGTCCGGGAATGTCTGCTGATGGTAGACAGGGGCTAGGGGTGCAGGGTTTAGGGGTACAATGTGAGAATGAACAAAACATGGTAGCTCCAACCATACCAACCCTTGGCTAACTTCATTTTTGGTACCAGAAATCGAACTCATGACCTCATGCTTGCCAGGCAGGCGCTTTGATGCTGAGCTGGATCCCTGGCCCAGTGGCTTATTTTATGAGGCTTAGAGTTTACCTTAAAAGTTCACCCTTTTCCTTTCTGCACTTTGCATTTTTAAAGCAAACAGGGAACAGTGAAGAATATGCCCTTACATAAATGTGCTTTTGTTCACAAAATTTGATGCCACCCTTGAGGTGAACTCGTCCATAGCTGGCTGCCTATTGACCCAGAGACCTCCTTCTTCAGCCTCAACAGGTTCCACCAGAGGAATCCATGTGAGCCAAAGTCTAAGCAGGATAGTTCAGATTTCCTGCCAAGCAAAACAGGAATGGCTTCCAGCGCAAAGGCCTCCCTTCTTCCAAAGTAAGCATTCTTGAATCTCATCTAGTCTTACCATAGTTCTATGCATCAGATTTATACCCATTTTGCAGGTGAGGTAAATGACACTTTATAAGCTCTTCTGCCTAGAGCCCCCAGCAAAGTGCTGGTCTGGGATTTGTGTTCCAGATGAAGATGCAGCTCTTTATGGACCTATTTGAAATGGACTCTATCATCAAAGTCCAAATTTTCTGTTGCTGGATTTGCATGTGGTGGCACCAATTTGCACTCAGAGGACCTGAGTTATAGACACTGGGTTAGAGGCTTTGAATAATGAAGCATTTCTGTGACCCAGCACCGCCCTTGCGATTGTGCCTTAGCTGAACAGTCACCTGGTTCAGCCTGAAGCAGTCAGACCTACAAACAGAAAGCCACCAACGGGTCTCAGTGGCATCCTACCTCACACACAGCAGCTCTGAAAATCCTGTTTTTCAGACAGAAAACGGTGCGAGAGTTTATCCTTTTTCTTTTTCTTTCTTTCTTTCTTTCTTTCTTTCTTTTTTTTTTTTTTTTTTTTTTTGAGACAAAGTCTCACTATGGGGTTCACGCTAGCTTCACTCAAAATGTAGCCCAACTGGCCTTGAACTCACAGTTCTCCTGCCTCAGCCTCCTGGTTGGTGGGATTACAGGCATGTGAGTCACGGGTTGATTTCTTCATAGTAGCCATTTTTTCTGGGGTGAGAATCTCAGTGTTTTCATTTGCTTCCTTCCAATGAACAGAGACGTTGAACATTTTCTTCCTGTATGTGTCTGCCATCTCTGCTTGTTCATCCGAGATCTATCTATTCATTGCAGATGCCCAGTTTTGGATCGGGCCTTTTAACTTGGGGGAGTCTGGGTTTTTGTCTCTTTTTTTTAGTTCTTTATATATTATAGCTATTAGTCCTTTGGAGGAACAGCTGCCAAAAGTTTTTTCCCACTCTTCACTTCTTGCCTCTTCACTCTGTGGGTGGTTCCTCTTGCTGTGCAAAAGCTTTCTAATAACATGAAATCTCAGTTGTTGATTCTTTGTATTTCCTGTGTGACTGGGGTTTTATTCATAAAGTCTTTGCCTACACCAGTGTCTTGAAGAGTTCTACCTATTCTTTCTTCTGGCATATTGTTTCTGTTTTAATATTTAGATCTTTGATCCATTTCAGTTTTAACTTATTGCATGGGGAAAGATACGGATCTAGTTTTAATCTTCAGCATGTGGAAAGCCAGTTTTCCTAGCACCATTTATTACAGAGGCTGTCTTTCTTCCAAGAAAGGTGTTTGGCTCCTTTGTCAAGGACAAGGTGGCTGAGTTGCTTAGAGTTCTTTCCGCATCTTCTAATGTGTTCCACTGATCCTGGGATGTTTCTTTGCCAGTACCATGCTGTTTTTATCACAGTAACTTTGTAGTATAATTTCAAGTCTGGGATTATGACGTCCCCTGCCTTGCCTTTGTTGCCCAGAGCTGCTTTTGCTACACTAGGTCTCTTTTTTTTTTTTTTTTTTTTTTTTTTTTTTTGGTCTTTTTCATTTTTATCGGTACCAGGGATCGAACTCATGACTGCCTGCTTGCAAGGCAGGAGCTTATGCCGCTGAGCTGAATCCCCAGCCCCTACACTAGGTCTCTTGTCTCGATTAATTTTAGGATTGTTTTCTCTAACTGAGATATGCTACTGGTATTTTCATTGGGGTTGCATTAAATCTGCATGACAATTTTACAAGCATGGCCATTTTTAGTATTTTGGTTCTTCTAACCCAAGAACAAGGGATATCATTCCATTTTCTGGTATGCTCTTCAATCTCTTTTTTCAGAGTACTTACTGTAGTCTTCAATGTAGAGGTCTTTTAATTCCTTTGTTAGATTGATTCCTTCTTTTTTTTTTTTTTTTTTTTTTTTTTAACGCTATTGTGAAAGACATTTCCCCAATTTCTCTCTCAGGGATTTTGCTATTTATGTACAGCAATGATACATTGAGTATTGACTTTGTACCCATTCAGCTACATGACTGAATCTGGTTGTTAAATCTAGAAATCTTTTGGTGGAGTTTTTGAGGTCTTCTATGTAGCATATCAGGACTTCTGCAAATGATAATTTAACTTCTTTCTTCCCTGTCCTTATTCAGTTTTCTGTCTGACTGCTCTGGCTAATACTTCCATACTTTATGGAGTAAGATTGGTAACAGTGGACATCCTAGTCCTTGTTTGTTTGTTTTCATCCATTTAGATGTTGGCTGTTGGTTTGTCATGGATGACTTTTATCAGATTGAGATAAAGACCATCTGTTCCAATTTTTCATAGAATTTTTTTATCACGAATAGGTGTTGGACTTTGTCAAATGCTTTTTATGCATCTAATGAGATGATATGGTTGTTGTTCCTGGCTGTTATTATAGTACATTTATTAATTTGCATATGCACCATCCTTGTATTCCTGGGATGACACCTACTTGGTGTAGTGCATAATCTTGATTTGGTGCATTCCATTTGCCGGTATCTTACTGAGGAGTTTGTCTATGTGCTTTAGGGAGATTGGCCTATAGTTTCCTTTTTTGGCTGAGTCCTTCTTTGGTTTTTTTTTTTTTTTTTTTATGATTTTTTTTTTTTTTTTGTCTTTTTCATTTTTATCGGTACCAGGAATCAAACTCACGACCGTCTGCTTGCAAGGCAGGCGCTTATGCCGCTGAGCTAAATCCCCAGCCCCATCCTTCTTTGGTTTTAGTATGAGTGACTTTAGTTCCAGGAATGACTGGGAGTATTGCTCTTTTCAATTTCATTAGCATTAGTGGTATTAGTTATTCTCTGAATTTTTGTAGAACTCAGCAGTGACTCCATCACAATGTGAGCTTTCTTTTGTTGGTGGGTTTTTAATTACATCTTCAATTTCAATGAGTGATACAGGTTTACTTAGAATTTTTATCTTCTTGATTCAGCTTTGGTAACTCATATATCTAGGAATCTGTTTCTTCTGTGTGTTCCATTTTATTAGAATACAGGTTTTCAAAGCAGCTACTGATGATCTGGATTTGTGCAGGTCTCTTGTGACTTCAGCCTTTTCATTCTTAATTACAGATTTAAGCCTCTTCCCTTTTTGATGAGGCTGGCTAAGGGCTTGTCACCTTTATTTAGTATTTCAAAGAATGAACCTGAAGAGTTTACTAACAATCAGTGTGAAAGGTAAAATCTGTGACCAAGAACACCTTCCTGGAATGCCTGCAGTCACACATCAAATACCAAAAGCACAGCTTTGGATACAGTCACACATTAAATGCCAAAAGCACAGCTTTGGATACAGGGCTTATAAAAGATGCACGCAGGCCACTTTCCCAAGAAAGAGCTCCACAGTAGCTCTGTTCGCTTGCTTTCTTATGGAGTGGGGGTGAGTCTACGATGCTACTGATGCAGCCAGGCTTCAAGCATGCCAGGCATGTGCTCCTATCACTGAGCCCCCCCCTCCCCCCGCAGCCCACTGCCATGCAATTGTCCTGGAAAGACACCTGAAGCATGCAAAAGCATCTCAGGGTCGAATGCTGGCTTCTCCCAATCATCTGTGACGATGCTGTGCAACGAAGCCATGAGTGTCATTATAGTCACTGGAAAGAACCACCAGCTATAAACTGTTAATAAACCAATTTTTTCCTGTATTAGGGATGGAGCCTAGAACCCTGGCAATGTGTTACACTCAGGGCCTCTTTTTACTGAAGAGACAGGTTCTCATCCAATTGCCCAGCAAGGCTTAACACTGTAAACCTCTTGACTCAGCCTCAGAGTGCTGAGATCAACACTCAGGCATCACATGTCAGGCCCAGCAACTCCCTAAGCAACCTCAGAAGGAAACATTGCTTCTCTGCCCAGCAAACAATGGACCAGACTAGGATGGGCTGAGCCATGGAGTAATCTCCGCCATGGGAAACCCTCTGTGGTCACAAGTTTTTAGAGCCAAATAAAGGGGCACATTCCTGCAATCCCCACAGTCAGGAGGCTGAGGCAGGAGGATTACAAGTTTGAAGACTGCATGGATTACAGAAAGACCTGCCTTGGAAATTTAAAAAATAGGGTTTTTTTGATGAGACCTTTTTAACAAACGTTTAGCATGGCGGTAACAGATGTGCACCTTTGGGAAACACAACTAAAGTGTGTGCAAAGTGTCACAGCGTCTGATGCTGACCTCTTCCCACTGATCTGTGAAGAGGGTTCAAAAGCCCTGAAAATAATGGCCAAGCAAAGATACCCAGTTTCAGAGAAGAAAGTCCATGAAGAACACACAAACACGTTTGGTGGGGGAAAAAAAACATTCAGAATTTATTTTCCAACAGACACAGCCAGCATCAGCAGGTACAGCTCCAGGGATCTCGGCAGACCATACATTCACAAGGCATTCTCAGCTCGGCAGTGAGCGCGCCACTGGGGTGGTTCTCGGCAACAACACACACTTCACAGTGTAAACAGGTGCTGTCATTGTGTTCTTACAGTTCCAGAAGGAAAGGCACAACTTGGCAAAAACACTTGTTTGGGTCCTAAAGTCAGGTGCAGTAACTAAGAGACAAAACTCGAGTAACAGTCTGGATCTGCAGTTCCACAAGGGCTTCAGCAGGGAGAAAGACTCCCCCACCCGGCCGTCTGATTTTTTTCCTCCTTCCTCATTTAACAGCTAGAGCCACGCTTCATCAACTGCTTAATATTATCACATGTACAAAGGGGAGTTTAAAAAAAGGGATCAAAGACTTCTCGAACATCCGGCTGTTCCCACCAACTCTTAGCTTTAAGACGGAGCCTGGAATACTTCAGCGGTCATAAAATAGGAAAATAGAGACTATGGCTACAAAAATAAAAAATGAATGAGGTAGATAAATTAAAGCTTTCACACCCAGGACTGCCTGTCCCAACTTCATAGCCTTCATGCAACACGCCGGGGTGCAGGGCGGGGGAGAAGAGATCTTCATTATTACTTGGCTTCAGCTGCACCAAGGAAATTAAAAAACAAAAACAAAAACAAAAAATGAGAACTTGTGATACAGAGGTTCCATCTTCCATGAGTTAAGAATGAAAACGCATTCTTCAAAACAGAGCAGGCACTTGCAAACCCCAAGTCACCTGAGAATCCCGGCTCAGTGCCCCGCTGTCCTGGCGCGGGAAGGCAAGGCACCTGCAAAATGTGGGAGTGGTTCACACTCGGGGGGCTCCAGATGGACTGTATTTAAATAAGCAGCAAAGCACACGTACGTACACACACACACACCCACACACCGGCTCCCTGCGGACTACAGCACATCCACGCAAGGGCAGCTACTTCCGTCCTGAGGCTGAAGGGATTCTGTTAATTCTGCAACCCCGGTTTGTTTGGGTTGTCTTCCTTTTAAGTACATTCAACAAAACAAAAGGAAACAAAAGATGGTGAAAGATTGGGGAGCCATCAAATTGGCCCCTAAATAGATGACAGACCCTTGTCCATTTACCCGCATAGTCAGCACGGAAGTACACAGTCCCTCACCCCACGATTAGGCTAAGGAGTTGTCTTTTCCACTGTGGTTCAGTCAGTTCCAATTGGCACACAGTCTTTGGAAAGAGTCACTCTAGGTTGTACAAAGCTTCTACGTACATAGTTTGTTGCAAGTAAGAAAGCTACTTTGCAAGACCCGCTTCTTTCCAAAAATTAAAAAAAAAAAAAATCTAGTCAGTTTTGGTATGAACTTTGTTTGTTTCTTTTTAAATTTTCCTTTGTTTACTTTTTTTGCAAAGCAGCATAGCAACAATTGTGATTGTAGGAATAGCCCAGGTTGGGTTACCACCCACCGTAAACATCATTTGCATATCAGTAAGAAAAAGGACACTGGAGATCTGGGTCCCTCGCGCTCCCGTTCCATCTCCCCAGCTTAGCTGACTGCGATCTTGTTTTCTTCCAGGAAGTGAGGGAACTGGTGTTTGGCAACGCCATCAGTGACGCCTGGCTTCTCGGCCGCACTGCCGCCAGACTGGGAGCTGTCCATCTTGGAGGCGGTGGTGCTGCTCACCACCGAGCTGGCCCCCAGGGACACGGGCAGGGTGGGGATCCCGCCGCTCTGGATTACCGAGATCTCATTAGTCTTCATGGCCAGGCCGCCGTTGAGCATGCTGGTGTACTGGCTCCACACCACCGGGTCCATGCTCACCGAGGGCGACAGGATCTCCTTGGAAAACATTTCTGGCACTCGCTTTCCATCCGCGCCCAGCAGGGCCATGGTGTTCTCGATGGCCAGCTTCCTCCCGCGGCGAGCGGAGTTATTGTTGGCCCCGTGAGTCATGTAGTGGACCTGCCCGGATGGGATGAGACAGGACAGAGATTTGGATCAGGTGGAGATCTGACCGATTATCCGCATGCCCAAATCTGCAGACCAGTGCGGTCCTACTCGGATAAGGGCTTAGCATACTTCTGTATTTAGAAATTAAGATTATGTAAAAAAAAAAAAAATTCAGAGATTTGGTCTAGACTTGTAGAGGGAAAGAAAAATATGAGGATCTGGCAGTATGTGTGCACTTATGTGAACACCTGCTACATGCCCAGTGTCAGGGCCCATGTCTGTAATCCCAGCCCTCTGGAGGCTGAGGCCTCCAGAAGGATCACCATGTTCAACGCCAGCCGGAGCTACATAGCTGAGACTCTGTCTCAAAAAACAAACAACAAACCAATCTGTATATGCACACAAACCTCTTCAAGAGATAAAACAGTGCAGAGTTTAACACACACCAGAGTACAAGCAGAATGGGGATCTATGATCAAGGTAAGATTGTATCAACGTAAGATTGTATCCTGAGCCTGCTCTTCAAGTCCTGTTGCAAAATGAAAACCTGTGAACTATCTCAGGAGGTCTCTATTCTCCTTGCCAGGTGTGAATCTACAATGACTTGCCTTAGGAAAATTCACTTGGAATCACTTTTTAAAACAAAACCTTCTGCCCTAACACAGCTGACACGAGCAGCACCTGGTGGCTGGGCAGGCATGTGCTCAGAGGCACAACACAGAGCAGGACCAGACTGCATACAGGGTAACACGAACAGTGAGGAAGTCTAGCAACCATCCCTAAGGAGGAAAGTAAATGTCAGGGAAAGCCACAGTGGGGAGGGATACAATGTGGCCTAAGCTAACTGATCTCTGCTGACGAAGGAATCCTGCTGACCCTCTGCTTCTTCAAGCAAGCCGTGTGTGGCACTGCCCTTTTGAGCTTCTAAGTAAAAACCCCTCGGTGCTCGGTGCCAGGTCAAGCCCTGTGGGTTCACCGTTACTGTCACCCTCAGAAGTCCAGGCACCCTGACAGCAGTGGCTCACCGTGAGCCCCGAGCGGCTGCCAAAGTGGAACCAGCAAGGCTTCCATGAGAGCCCCTGGCCTCACGCTGGCCCAGCCCAGACACCTCCATGGACAGTGGACTTTGCCTCTGGAGCAGCACACCCAGGCTGACGGGAGACCCCAAATCAAAAGCTGCACGGGCTGCTTTTCACCCATCGGTGGGCAACCCCTAAACCCACGTATCTTAGCAGGAAGTACTCTACAGACTGCCCCGTGGAAGGCCTGGCTCCACAATCATAACCTAACGGCTACTCTTGTTTTAAACCAGAGTAGTTAAACCCAGCAGAGGTGGTGGCCAGTGAGGTAGGGAATTACCAGGAGTTTGAGGCCAGTCTTAAGACACTCCTGAGACCTGGCCTCAACAAAATCACCTCTTGCAGCCCTGTATGCACCTTTCTACTGTATACATATGTAACTCATGGTATTTGTCTCAACTAGGCAGCCTGGCAACAACCACCAGAGCGCATCCTCATCAAGTCTGGAAAGCCACACACACCATCCCACGCAAGCAGCTCCACCTTACAGTAATAGAGAACAAGCGTCCCCTGCGTTTCCAGGTCTTATCTCATGCATCTATTCAGCTTCAGGGTTTTGCTCCTCTGCACGGGCACTAGGAACTGAACCCAGAGCCCTGCAGGTGGTAATCAGGTTCTCAACCACTGAGCCTTACTTAACCATTTAACTATGGTTCAAAAAAAAAAATCGGGTCTCCCTGACTATCTGGGGTTGGGGGAAGAGCTACCCGTCTTGGACCGAGAAAGAAGCACAAAACAAACCACATTCTGCTTCCAGGTGGCATCACTTGTGCATGGCATCATGATTTTATGTGCCACCAGGGTTTAGGCAAAGCCACTACCCCATTACAGTCAATGTTCTATTAGCCCACCAAATTCAGGGACAGGGGCAAGGACTCAGCTTTGAGCCGTGGTACTACCTGGCAAGTGTGAGGTCCTGAGTTTGAGTCCCTCTTCAAAAAAACAAACAAAAAAATCTAGTCAAGAATATTCCACTTTGAGATGTCGTGATGTGAGAAAACAGACCTATGGAAAAAATTGTTTTCACAAGCCAGCTCTGAAGTACAATTGTATTAAGTCCCATTTGGTCCCTCCCTCCTGTTTTGGAGGGGTCTTTTTGAGACAGGGTTTGGCTATGCAGTTCAAAATGGCCTCAAACTCCTGGCATCCTCCTGAGTGCTGGATTACAGGCATGCATCACCATGCCCAGCCCTCACGCATGCCAAGCCAACTGCTCCACCACTGCCTCAACTACCCCAGCCCATTTGGTCTTCAATGCAAAAATCACGGTGCACACCATTACTGAGAGGCCGCCCCATCCAAGCCAACTTTCCCGAAGCGCAGGAACCCACCTTCAGGTTGCCTTTGGTGGTGAAGGCTCGCCCACACACACTGCACATAAAAGGCTTCTCTCCAGTGTGCGTGCGTTCGTGGATCTGCAGGGCACTGGCCGAGGAGAAGTTCTTCCCACAGCGCGTGCAGGCATGCTGCTTGGCTTGCCGGCGGGGCTGGGCGGCCAGCAGAGGCGTCATGCCAGGAGACAACGCAGAGGGGCCAACAAATGAGCCGGGAACCTCGACTTTGACATAGGTGGGCTGTGCGCGGATGAACGTGGGCGGGAGGCCGCTGCGACCTGGTTGTGTACAAGAGAAGAGAAGCCCACACTTTTATCGTCCAACACCTGCTCATGCGTCAGAACCAAAGAAACCTCGCAAAACCACTGCCCACTAACCCCGTGCAGAACACTCAGTCCTACCTCCAAAGCGGCTTCCCTTTGAATGCTTTCTGCACCAAGAATAAAGAAGACTCAACACTAAGGAGAAACTGTCTGTTGGGTTTATATAATGGTATGGGCTAAGGGCCAGGGATACAGCTCAGCGGCACAGCACCTGCCAGGCAAGCGCAAGGCCCTGAGTTTTATTCTAGGTAAAATTTAAAAAATATACACGGGCAACACAGGAACACGTGCAGGGAAGTTCTGATCTTTACATCCTTTAAAAAGCTATTTTTGGTCTGGGCGAGGTGGTGCACTCCTGTAATCCCAGCATGGGGGGGCGGGGGCTGAGGCAGGGAGACTGTCACTAGTTTGAGACCAGCGTGGGCTACAAAAATGAGCCCAACGCCAGCCTGAACCACACAGCGAGACCCTGTCTCAAAAACCAAACAAACAAACACCTCACAGACACAAAAACCCCAAAACCACCCACCTAAATAAATGAATAAATAAATAGAAAGCCATCTATAAACTATGCCCAACGATCCTGACTGTCTGATATTCAGCTGTTACCCTCTTTTAGATTAGGGGCATAACTTCCTGCCCACAATGGCTATGTGAGTATAAAACAGGTTTGTCCTTTCCTCTTTGGTGATTAATTTGTGAACATTTCCTCAGGGAGGTGAGACCCCAGAATCAAGAAACTACAGTTCATTCAATTGACTGAGAAGCAGCACCCACCTCCCCAAACACCCTTCTCCCGGGATTTACTGAACCACCCCTCTGTCCCATGGGGTCACAGACAAAAATAGAAAGCCATCGGCATCACTCTGCCACACCCAATTTACACAAACCGTTACCAACTTAAAAGCGTGTCCACTGCTGGGGTAGAGGTAGGTTTTATGCCCTTCTACCCAAGCACAGCAAAGCCAATCGCCCTACGGAGGAGCTGCTTCAGAGACTCCGAGTGTCAAGGTCCACCCAGGTTCCTTTTTTGATGACCTTGAGCCCAAAATGGACATTAAGTTAAATCCAAAGCGCTATCACCTTCCATCTCAGGGCGGCTGTTCTCGGAGCTCTCAGCTTTGAGCCCGGTATCTGGGGACCGGGACTTGACGCTTTCTGCTTGGCTATTGGCCGGGGACAGGGCCTGGGCACACACGGCCTCCATGACATCCGGGCTCCGGCTCGGGTACTCCTGGTCACCGGCCAGGGAGGAGTCGTCGTTGGTCAGCCCGTCGCTCTCCCCCGAGCCGTTCTCCCTGCTGCTCTGGCGCTGCAGGCTCAGAGGAGCAGGGGCAGGACCCGCCGCCTTCCCGGGGGCGTCCTGGGAGGCCACCACCACCGTGGGTGACGCCACATGGATGCTGGGCAGCGGCACGGACACCTTGGAGCAGCCGCCGCCGGGGGTGTCGTGGGAGCCGATCTCCTCCACGTCCACCTGCTTGTGGCCCATGCTGCTGCTGTCACAGAGCACAGCGGCGGGCTCGGGCCCGGCCAGCTCGCAGGGCCTCTCCAGCAGGGGCGTGTTGGGGATGCGGCCGCCCATGTGCATGCGGATGTGCTGCTGCAGCATGACCGCGTTGGTGAACTTCTTCTCGCAGATGGGGCACGAGTGCTGTATCTTCACCGCCGTGTTGGTTCGGTGCACCCCGAGGTGTGTCTTCAAGTTGCCTTTGGTGGAAAAGGCGCGGCCACAGATCTTACATGGGAACGGCCTCTCCCCGGTGTGCGTGCGGTAATGCATCTTCAGGGAGCTCTGGCAGCTTAAGACTCGGTGGCAAATGACACATTCGTTGGGGTCAGTGGTGGCCTTGTCGATGTTCTCCACCAGCTGCTGCAATTTCAGGGTCTCGGACCCCGGCTCGGGGGGCCCAGTGCCCTGGAAGCCACCGACCCTGGGAGGGTTATGGTTGGGCCCCACCCCTGGTAGTGTGGGTCCACCCTCACTTTCTGGGGAGGGACCCGGATGCAGGTCGCTGGGCAGAGGTGGGCCACCCAGGAGGTCCTTGGGGTTAGTCCCCGAGGGGATATGCTGAGGTAGCCCTATGGGAGGGGTCCCCGTTACCAGGAGAGGTTTGCTGTCTACAGAGAGACTCGGCTCATCTACGATGGGCACAGGGACAGAGAGTGCACAGGGGACGCCACTGCCTGCCCCCACTTTGTCCTGGAACTCAGCGAACAGCTGGGGGTTTGCCTTCACCTGGGGGTGCCGGTGAAAGTGCACCTTGAGGTTGCCCTTGGTGGTGAAGCGGTGGCCACAGACAGCGCACATGTACGGCCTCTCTCCAGTGTGTGAGCGCAGGTGGATCTGCAAGGAGCTGTCAGTCCCGAACACCTTGGTACAGTACTTACACTTGTGCTTGTAGAGGGCCGCCTCGTCTTTGGGTTTGACATCCACCGCGGAGATGTTGGGGGGCTTCCCTTTCCCTTTCTTGGCTGGGTCTAGTGCCACGGTGGAGAAAGGGCTCTGGAAGACCACAGAGCCTGGGGCCTGAGGTAGCAAAGCGCCCGGAAGGCGAGACATGACATTTGGGAGCACCCGAGTCCCATCCGGCTTCAGGGCAAAGGGCGCCAGCCCTGGGGTCAGCGGGCCGTGGGAGGGGACGTTGGCGTGAGGTAGCTTGGCTTGTTTCAAGGTGTCCAGGGACAGACCCTGGCTTCCGGCCTTCTGGCTGAGCAGGGCCACGGTGGCAGACACCTGCTGGGACATGTGGCTGCCCAGGGCCTTCAGGGTGTCGGTGCCCGCCGCCCCAGAGTGCAGGGCGTGTGCTGCCCACATGTTCACTTGGATTCGGATCTGCTCCGTGAGCTGGATCTGCTGCAGCTGCTGCTGCTGCAGACACAGGATCTGCTCCAGGACCCAGGGGATGCTGCTGGCACCGGGCACGGGTGCGGGGGGCGCGTCCACACTGCGCTGGTTCACCGCCACCTTGGTGCCCCGGAGCGCCTGCAGGGTCACGTTGGTGTTGGTCACTTTGCCTTTGGGTAAGTAGCCGAGGTCCTGTGGGGTGGGTGGCAGAGCAGCCTCTGTTTTCAGGTACATGACAGACTCCGCGCCCAGCTTGTCCTTGGCATCCCCCGAGCTGCTGCCACCCTCCTTGCCACCCGGACTCAGGGGCTGTTGGCTGAGCACGGCTTGGGGGAAGTCCTCAGAAGGCACCGGCCCCTCGCCATCATTCATGATGAGGACGGGTGGATTTTTAGTGCAATTTCTCTTATGTTCCAAGAATTCAGAGAAGACAAAGAACTCAGCACAACACTTGTCGCAGACGTGGGTCTCCTCCCGCCGAGGCCGCTTTCCAGTGGCTTTGTCCCCACTCAGTTCGTCGCCATGCCCCAGGTGGTTCATTGGCACACCTGTAAAAGTGGAAAAATAGCTTAAGAATTTTGCCCCAGAAAGGGAGGAGGGCAAGCTCTCGGGAAGCTACAGGCAGGAACACCCACCATGACAAAGCCACACTGTCACGGTCCCCGTGGCCAGCAGAGCACCTAAGGGGGAAACAGCCACCCAGACTCGGAGCACCCGAGCTACCACCTAGGTGTAGGCTGTTTGTGTCCCCTGGACTGATAGTGGGATAGATAACCAGTCCCCACCCTGCGCCTTCTTTGGGTCGGGTGTCTGCAGAGATTAGTAAATCAAGTCCAAGGCCTGGCACCATCATACAAGACGGCGCAGACGGGGTAGGGAAAGGAAAGGCAGCCAGCTGACAGTGCAGGTGCCTCAGGTCCTCTAGCAAGCACCTGTCCTTGGGCCACTCAAACACAGGCGCTGGGCCGCTGCACCTGTCGGGGAACAGACTCTGGTTGTTTCAGGTCACTTGGTGTAACAGCCGCCCTGGGAACTGCATGTGATGTAAAATAAACCCTGTTCCGACTCTGCACCCCTGAGCTGCATCACAGAGGCCACAGATCTGACGGAATGAGGACTCTGGGACTTATTCAGATCATAGCCGGTCACTCAACTTAATCAGCACCCACCAGCAGCAGAGAGGTTTAAAGGCACCAACAATTATGATGGGAGCACTAAGTTCATTAAAATATGAAGAACAAGGGCTGGAGGTTTAGCTCAGGGGCATAAATTCCTGCTTGGCAAACGCCAGGTCCTGAGTTCCCATCCCCAGTACCAATATGAAGAACAAGGGCGGGCGGTAGCAATGCCTGTAATCCCAGCACTCTGGAGGCTGAGGCAGGAAGGTTGCCAGGAGTTCAAGGTCAGCCTGGGCTACATAATGACACCTTGTCTCACAAAACAAAGAACTAAAACCTAGACATCAATCTAATGCATGGAACAAAAGACCCTTACAGTGTAAATCCCAGAAGGCTGCAGAAACTAGAGATGGAAAGGTCTTCCACGTTATAGAAAGCTATCTACAGAGTCAATGCAATCCCCATCAAAATTCCAATGACATTTTTTCATACAACTAGAAAAAATAAAATTTACATGAAACACAGGTGATCCAGAACAGCTCATGCAACCCAGAGCAAAGAGAACAAGGCTCGTTGCTTCATAACACCAGATTCAAAGCACATGACAGAGCTGAGGCTCCAGAGGCTGCAGGGCACCATGACGGAAAAACACAGAGACCAAGGAACAGAAGTCACAAAACAAAACTACAGCCATCTAATTCTTGACAAAGGGACCAAAAACATAAACCGGAAAAAGACAGCTTCTTCAATAAATGGTGCTCACAGAAGTATGCAGACAAAAACCAAGATCCCCTGTGCCACACCCCATACCAAAATCAATTTAAAACAAAACAAAGACCTTGTGGGTATAAAAAAGACCTCTAACTTTCAAACTAAGAAAAAACGGGAGCCAGGCGTGGTGGCACACGCCTGTAAATCCCAATACTTGGGAGGCAGAGACAGGAGGATTGCTGCCAAGTTAGAGGCAAACCTGGGCTACACAATGAGTTCAAGATCAGCCTGAATTACAAAGTGAGGTCCTGTCTGGACCCCTCTAAACAGAACAAAAACAGTAAGAGCAACAATCGAGCTACTGTTTGATCCAGCTCCACCGCCCCTTGGCATGACCCCAAGGAAGGGATACCTACACCCCCATGTTTACCACGGTACCCATACAACAGCCAGGCTGTGGAGTCGTCTAGATGCAAACTGTGGTAAACACAAGGGAACACTGCTCAGCCTGAATGACATCTGGAGGAAAACATGGAAGAAGAGATCGTCATGTTAATCTTTGTGTATTAAGAGAAGGTAACCAGAGAGACTAGAAATGGGGCGGATTCACAGCTCTCATCTATACCTCTGCATAATAATTCTACTCCTCTGAAATAAAACAGAGCATCTTCAATTCAGAATCACTTGATTTTTTTCAACTTTATGATGGCAGCTAGGAAAGAAACAACCTTTTTTTTGTCTTTTTTCCTTTTTATCGGTACCGGGGATCGAACTCATGACTGCCTGCTTTACAAGGCAGGCGCTTATTACGCTGAGTTAAATCCCCAGCCCCAAGAAACACACCTTTGATAAAGTATTTGGAATTGAGTTGCTTTTGGCTTTTTTAAACAGGGTCTCACTGTGTGGTCTTGAACTCACAGGGATCCCCTTGCCTCAGCCTCCAGAGCATTAGGATATAAATGCCTGTGCCGGGATGTCCCACCAAGCTATCTCCTTTTGAGTAGCTGTATTCTTAAAGGGGAGAGGGGGGCCCTGGGGGGATAGCTCAGTGTCAGAGCACCCCTGGGTTTAAGCTTCAGCCGCTTGAAAAACAACAGACAAGATTGGCTGATTTCTTTGGTAACATATAACACCTGTCTGAGAACTCTGCACCAGCCAGAAGCCCAGAGTAGTTTCTCTGTTCACCTACGCTGTCAAATAGGCCCATCCTGCTAAAAAATCTAGGCACACTTAGACCCAGCCACTCGGACCCAGGAATCTAAACCCGAGGTACATTTGCACAAACACACAAAAATCCATCCATCAAGGAAATTCTTTTTCCCCACCAATGTTTACAGCAGGAAACTGTGAATTTTGGCCACCCTTAATAAGAAAAGGATAAAGTCGTCTATGCCATAGAAGTTAGGTGACACAGTTACGAACAGTGTGTAAAATGTAACTTTTTTTTATCCCCGGTACCGACAAAAAAAAAAACAAAGAATTCTTTAGGGGCTGGGGATTTAGCTCAGCGGCATAAGTGCCTGCCTTGCAAGCAGGCAGTTGTGAGTTCAATCCCCGGTACCAATAAAAAACAAAACAAAACAAAAACGAGACAGTGTAGTTCAGGCTGGCCTCAAACTCATGGCCATCCCCCTGGCTTGCCACCATGCCAGACATCCACTATTACCCAGGCCTGGTAGTACATGCCTGTAATCCCAGCTCCCTGGGAGGCTGAGGCAGGAAAATTATAAATTTGAGCTCAGCCTGGGGAATTTAGCAAGATCTTTTCTCAAAATAAAAATATAAAAAGGGTTGGGGATGGGTGTGGTGGCACATGCCTGTAATCCCAGCACTGGGGAGGCTCAGGCAGGAAGATGGATACAAGTTCAAGGCCAGCCCAAAATGCAGAGACCCCGTCTTAAACAAACACGGAGGGGTTCAAGGGAGAGCCGGAGAACGCTGGGTGGGGATCAAGTTAGATCATGTACAGGGATGAATTCTCTAGGATGAATGTGACACTATCCATGCCCAAAATGTACCAATAACATCTGATGAGAGACACAACAGCAACAAAACCATTGGGATTTGTACCAAATAAATAATACAGGGGAACTGCATTATATATGCTGCTCTACAGACAACTGCCTAAGAATTATTTCGGAGGAGACAAAGGGACAGAGAACAGGGTGCTTACATTAATGCAGTCTCGTGTGGGTTTGCAGAGAGACATAATCCGAACCTGGATGCCCTGAGAGGACACAAGAGAAACTGCCATCCATGTGCGCTTGCTAGCGTGGTGGCCGGAGTTTGGGATGGTAAACTCTCCCTATACACACCTTATGGACTCAGTCTCTCTTTTAGGGGGAGAGAGTCACACTAGGGATTGAAGGCAGGTCCTTCACACCCAGCCCTTGTTTATTTGTGTTCTAAGGCAGGGTCTTGCTGATTTGCTCACTTGCCCATTCCGGCCTCAAATTTGCAACTCTTCTGCCTCAGCCTCCTGGAGTGCTGGGGTTATAGGTGTGTGTCACCATGCTGGGCACTGAGGCTTCTTTTAAATTAGCATCAAGTAAGTCCAAGGTGCACAGCTAGAGCCGGGACACGGCACAAGCACCTGCCTGGAAAGTGCAAGGTCCTGAGTTAGATTCCTGGTACCAAAGGGGAAAAGATGCACAGCTTTTTCTGAAGCTGCATCCATCTCTTCATTTCCTCTTGTTTCAGCTATTCTGTGGTTAAAATTTTCTAAGAAGGCTCATGTTGCCATTTCTATTCCACTTTTTAAGTGCAAAATCAAATTACAACCACCCAATTCAAACAAAAACATAACCACACTAAAGCCTCACACCTAAACCCACATTCCCATTGCACAGATGAGGACATTGAGGCTCAGAAATGCTGAAGTTGCTGGAGATAAGATGACTACAAGAATAAATTCTTATAGTGCAGATTTTTTTTTTTTTTTTTTTTTGTATGGAAGATCGAACTCATGACCTCACCATGCTAAATCCCTGGCCCCTGAATTCATTACATTTTTGTGCAGGTGACTTTCCTCTCTCCCCATGAATTTCTTTCTTTTAGGGCTTTATCCTTTCATTCCATGTCTGCAGGCTCCCCCCTTGTTTTATAGGGTGCTGGGGCCTGCACCCAGGGTCTTTCGCATTGCAAGCCCAGTCCCTAGGGTCTCAGCCAATTGAACTATACCCCAGATTCTAAAGCAAGCTTTCCTGAGCTGTGGTCCATGAAATGAAGAACACCAAATGTATTTAGTCAGTCACATGAACTAAAAATGAACATTTCTTCCAGTTAGGCTTATAAGGAGCTGGGTATGGTGGTGCATGCCTATAATCCCAGCACTTGGGAAGCTGAGGCAGGAGGACCACCTGAACTGAACTGTCTCCAAAGCAAAACCAAAACAAAACAACAAACAAGACAGCTTGTCAGGAACACCCCAAAGTGACACCAGCAGACCCTGAGATTAACTTGTTACCGACAGAAGCCACAACTATTTTCATACAGTGTGAAGGCTGTCACACTTGACTTAAAAACCCTGGTGACTCCCTGATGGGATGCGAGTTCTTGTTATTTAATCTTTATTAGAGCCTGTGAGGGAAGCATTTCCAAGATCAAGACCAAGTCCTTTATAAAAAAGGATGCAGGATTTACTCAGGCTGAGGCAGGAGATCGAGAGTTTGGGGCCAACCTGGGCTAGAGCTTACCTCAAATAAATAAATAAAATGGGGTTCGTGTTCAGTGTGCGCACCCCGTATACTTCAAATCACGCCTAAGGAGGGACAGTATCTAATGCAGTGTAAAGGCCATGGTACCCTAGTTCATTGTTTAGGGGCTGAGAGCAGGAAGCCAAGTCTACACAGACCAAAGCGAAACACAGATGCAACGTCTTCCCGAGCGTTTCCGACCCAGGACCCAGGACTGGTTGAATCCACAGGCGCACAAGCTGGAGAGGTACAGGGCCACCTATGCATGATAGATGTCTTCATTCTGGAGCGTTACAGTGTCACTGTTTGGTTTTCTAGGTACTTTCAACATGATGTTGAAAAGGGATCTGTGGCACAAAAAAGGTTAAGCTCCTGGCCCTGCAAGGATCCGCAGTCCCCAGAGTGATTTACAGCCTGCAAACCAGCTGCCTGCGCTGTATACACAAGCTCGCCCTCCGAGCCACACCAGAAAACATCCCGCTGGAGTCTTAAACCCGCAGATGTTTGCTTATGCGGTAAAAAGGACTTCTAACGTCCGTCCCCATCACCACTGGCAAATACTGAAACCGTGTATTTGTCAGGGAGTAAGAAGAGGACTCTGATAGGAACAATTACGGGGTGTGCTTAAATTAACCCGAAAGGAAAAAGCAAAGTTGAGAGGGATTACACAGCAACTAGTCCTCCCAGCCCTCCACCCCACCCCCACCCCACCCCGAATTTTAGGAATGTTATCTCTCAGCATCTAGTTATCCAATAAGTTGGAAGAATGCAGTAAGCCCAGCAGGGGTCTTAGATTCAATCACTGCCAAATGGATAGAAAATACTCTTACTATTGTATAGGAAGAAAGTTAATCTACTGGAGGCCAATCAAATTCTGGAAGCACTAAAACGTTTAAAAAATAAAACCCTGTATATCTTGATAAAAGCATTATGACTCAAGCTTATCTTCTTTCTCCTTCCTATATTAAAAGGACAATCCACAGATTATCTAAGTACACAGTATCTCCCACCCTCCCCCACACCCAGCTTAAGTGCTTCCCCCCCAAAAGGGAAATTCTCTCCCCAAGGGCTGTATTGCACTAGTTGGAAATGTCTTTTTACTGAGTTAAGGCTGATGGGTCAAAGCCTTTAAATTCAACTTTGTAGATGGCAAAAATCAGACCTGAAATTACATTTCTACTTAATGAAGCCCTAAAAACACGAAGTTTCAAAGTTCAGGGGCTCTGTATAGAGGGAATAGATCAAGAAACTACTCACAGCTTGTTAAGGTGTACGGGTCTCTGTTATCAAGATGCAGATGTGTTTTGCAAACCCCTTCCTTCTGGGAGAACAAAGCCTGATCCAAATTGGGGGTGGTGGGCGGTCGGGGCGGGGGTGCTGGTGATGCAGTACTTGTCTGGATTCAGACTTTTAAACAAGTTTAGATGTTTCTAGAAGTGCTCATAATATGAGAAGTTAAAAGTGATTAAAAAAGAAACCTCTTAAATTCTTTTCCTGATCTATTTTCCCCCCAGGGCATTGTGTTCCAGAGAAATCAACCAAACGCAAAGACTTATTTCCAAGTCACTTCCCAAGGACTTTTTCATCTAAAGCTTGCAAAGCTTCATCTGAGAAATTAAATGATACAGACACAGAGATCACCTCACCCAACCAGTTTACACAACATGGCTTTCGCATCTGGAAAACAAAGAAGAAAACCCCATTCCATCACCAACTGCTCCGAGACCTAACCAAACTGCTTGAATTCAGGACAGGGCTAATACTCAACAGTGCAGGGCACCGTGGGCAAAGCGTCTGCCACAGGAGCTGCAGGGCAAATGAGAGTTACTTGGTGCGCATTAAAGATAAAGTACAGGAAGCCCCCAGCCCCGGGGTCTAGCACTACAGAATTGTTTCAATTAGCCCCTCAATGCCGCCCCTGATACCAGGGCAAACCCGACAGCGCTGTTAACTCGGAACAAAATGACCTGCTCCTGATCACAGTCAAACACAGAAGAGGCCTTCTATAGTTGAAACCGGCTACTGTATCTTATTGCTGTTCTAGAAAGCACCCAAAAGCTAAAAAAACTAAGGAAGCCCCAATGTGACACCTAAAATATAACCAGAGCAGAACGCAGAGCTCTTTCTAAAGCGACAAAAAACCCGCCCAGCACCTCGCGGTTCACAGGGAAAATGCTCACCGAGTCCAGCCTCCCAAAATGGTTCCCCAGCCTCCTACCTAAAGGGAAGCTCGCTGACCGCCAGCACCACGAGAGAGACAAAGTATCACTGACTTCTAAACCCGGAGGGGAGGCTCCAGCTCCACGGGGCAGGGCAACGTGTTTTACAATGCAACTTATTTTTAATGAATGAAAAAGCAGCTAAGGCCAATGTAGGTCATTTTAGGAAAGAAACGGGGCTAGGAAGTTATTTGGAATTTGCGAATCTTAATCGTTGATGGTTGTAATCCAGTTTAGCACAAAGGGCATTTGAAACTCTTTTGAGAAAATGCTAATTTTCTTTTAAATAGTGTTAGCCCCTCCCTGACCACCTGCAGATTTTTGGATCTGCTAATTATTGTCTGGACTTCATTTTCTTCTCTCAAAAACCATGCTCTCAAATGGCGAGGTCTTAATTTTAAAAGTGATGCCTAGCGTCTATTTTGGGGCTGAGCAAATGCAAACCTCCAATATGCAACCGTTGAAAGACTGCTTGGGAAGACGGACTACGTCCGGCTCCCCAGACAGCAACCGAGGACTCTGCAAACACTCTATAGCTAGCATCCAGGGGTTCTTGGAAAGAATTGCAAACACTGGGGGAACAACAGCTAGCGCAGACGGCGTTGGAGCAGGTAAGCGGCAGAGTGCCCAGGGACGAGCGTCCTCCGCCGAGCCGGCCCTCTGCCCACCGCGCCCCACTCACCAGGTGTGAGGCAGCCTGCGCCCGGACCCGCCTCCCTGCCATCCGCTCGGCTCCACGGGGCCTCCAGGGGGCGCCCGCGCGCAGCCCGGCCAGCCGGTCAGCACCAGCCCGAGTCATCAATGGTGCACCCCGTTCCCCCAAGTGCTGCAGGAGCGCACGGCCGGGCTGGAGACACTGCCCCGGGCTGAGGTTCTCGCCAGCTCCAGCCTGTGTCACTCTCCGAAGCTCTCGAGTAACGAGCTCTCCCTAAAGGTACCAATAACCACCCCAAGCCCCACTTGTGCGCGCCCACCCAATATGAGGGGGGAAGGGGAGGTCAGAGCAGGACCAGGGGAGGGGTCAGGGCCCGGGGCTCGCCCCTCCTCTCCGGAGGAAGCGGGCGGGCCGAGGGTTTTTAACCCTTTTGTTCCAGGTGGGCCAGGCCACGAAGTCGCTGCCCAATCTCCCCCACCCCCCAAGCCAGGCACAAAGAGTCGCCCTCGGCTGCCGGGACCTGGAGGGTGCGCAGCCCTGCCCGTCGGACGGCGAGCCAACGCACAACTGTCCCCGCGGCCAAACTCGTGCTTCTCTCTCCCCCTGCTAAAAAAATGCACGGCCGGGAACGGGGCTTTGGTTCAGCTATTATAAACTTGGGAAATTGCCCTCCCTGGCAAAAAGGCGGAGGCAGAGGTGGCAAGCAGCAGTGACCGCCCGCTAGCGCAATTCAGCGCCGGGGGTGCGCGCGGGGCGCCGGGCGGGGGCGCACAGCCAGCAGGCGCGCGGGCCGCGGGGGGCGCAGGACGAGGCCGGAGGTCGCCGCGCCCCTCCCCCCGCGCGTATGCGCAAAATTTATCAGGCGACGATTTGGCGGGCAGAGCCGGAGGGGAGCCGGGGTGGGAAGGGAGCCGGCTCCCCAAGATCAGCGGCTGGGTGACCCGAAGGGGCAGGGAAGGACCGGCCCTCGCCCCGGTCCCGGCCGCGCGGGGCCCCGAACTCCGCTCGCCCCGGGAGGCGCCGGCGCGGAAGCGTGGGCCGGGTCCAGCCCGGGAGCTCGCCGGGGCCACGACCGCCGGCCCCGGCCCGACCTCTCCCCTCTTCACCTCGCGAGCGCGCGTCTGGAGAGCTGGGCTCCCCGGAACAGCACGCGCGGGGCGAGGAGGGCGCACCCCGGCGGGGCTGTGGAGCGCCGGGGGCCCGCACCCCTCGGACCGGCCGCGGTTATTTTTAGGAAGTCGGAAATCAAAGATGGCTGAGGTCAGGCCCCGAAAGGTTAGGGCGAAGCCCGGGTCGGAAGGCGGCGTAGCCCGAGGGAAAAGGCGAAACCCGAAAAGTGAACGAAAAATAACATGTGGAGAGACGGCACGGGGCTCTTCCCACGAGCTCCGCCGGCCCCGGGAGCGCGGGTGGCCGGGACCCCGGCCCCGGGGTGGGGAGAGGTCGCGCCCCTTCCCCCACTCGGCCGGGGAGGGGCGCGCGTAACAGATCGCCCCCCGCCGGGGTCCTCGGGTGCGCCCCTCCTCCTCTCCCTCAAGGGCCCCCCACGGGCGGCGCAGAGGGTGGGGAGCCCTGGGGTCTCTTTTCTTTTTAAAGCGGCGCCAGGGAAGGAGGGGGGCTAAGTCACGGGAGGGGGACACCAGGGAGGGGAGTGGAACCAATTAAGAAAGGGGCTGAGGACCAGGCGCGGTAACCTCTCGGAGTGAGGGGACGGAGGAGAGTGGGGTCAACTTTACAACGAGAGGCGAGAGGGGGGGAAAGGGGTAAAACCTGCAAGGACGGGGAGCGGGGGCAGAGGCTGCTCCCCCCCTGGAGCGGAGTCCGCGGAGCGCGGCCCCGGCTCAGCCCGCGCCCTCGAGGGTCCAGCAGGCGTCCGGCAGGCGCCCTCTTGGCCGGGCGCCGCGGCCCCACTCACCCGGCTGCCCCGCCGCTGGGGCCGCATCTGCGAGCTCGGGGGTCGGCTGCTGCGGAGGCTGCTCGCCCTGGTCCTCCTCGGAGTTGATGTGCTGGGGTTTCGCCTGCTTGCGCCTCGACATGGTGCCAGCATCGGGGCGCCGGGAGAGCCGCGCTTATTTGCCCTCTCAGCCACAAATTCCTGGAGTTGGGAAATTTACCCCCCTTCGGCCGGAACGCGCATGTCCCAGTAATTATTATTATCAATAATGCATTGCGATTTATCATGAGCCCTGACAGCTGATTGGCCTGGGTCCAAGACCTCAGAGATCATTTAAATAAACCCTCATTGATCAGGGAGGGGCGAGGCATTCTGGGCTTTGTAGTCCGGCCCTACATGTGACCAAGGCGTGTTCATCAGGGGAGCGCAGCTAATTAGCATCCTGGCTCAGATTGGCTGGGGCGCGGACGCAGGGAGAGGGGACCCATCCTCCCTCCAACCCTCGAGACCTCGGAGAGAAAAGAATCGGGGAAAATGAGTGCTTGCTAAAATCGAGGGGCGCGCCTAGAAGTGGTGCGCCCCAAAAATTGCTTTCGTGAGGTTGATATCCACCAGCTGAGGCGGCAGGTCTTTTCATAGTGCAAAACTTCGGTTCAAATTTTACATCTAAAAAAAAAAAAAAAAAAAGCCTTCCATCTGCTTTTTGATGGAAATGTTTAAACTCGGTCTGAGACCGCTGAATAGTGACGGATTTATTCAGCTTTCTGCCCGTCCAAACGCTTAAAGTGACCCTCAACTTTTACAAATTTTACCCTGGGCTTCACTGTGATTAACTACCGCCAAGGGGTAGCAGTGGTCCCCAGGATTCCAGTTCACAAGGATTGGTTTATTATAGTGTGGACTTTTTTGGATGAAACTTCAAAATGTCCGACTACTGAACATAAAAAAGGTAGATTAAAAGCAAGCGTCGTCAGAGATAGTATCAAACAGCGAGCAATTGCATTTTTTCCTCATGAGCCATGAGTGTCTGATAACATCGTATTTTATTACTGAAACAATCCTACATCTCCCTTGGAATAGCATCGAGGACTGTCAGAGTCGCTGGGTGTTACTAATCATCACTGGGATTTTCTGCAGTGCAGACTTTACTGCAGAAAGGCTATGGATAGTTCAGAGTGTGTCCTAGCTGGGGATGCTTGGATTTTCTACAAGGGCGGGCGTATCACAGTCACACCATCACTCGGTGTGAGTTAACCCGCCTTACGCCATTTATGCTCAATGTTAAATGAGTGATGAAATCTTCAACTTTCCAAATCTGGTGTTTCCAGGGTGCCCCTGGACCAACGCCTGCAGCTGACATTCACTTCATTGTGAGAGACTGTGCAAATATAACCCCTCTCCACATCAGTGTGCCTTGCATTTTCTTGATTAGTTATTTGCTGAATTCCTGGCTTGTGAGAGTTGCTTGTAAGCTCATCAGGAATGCAAGCAGTATGGAAGGCAGAGTGCGTAAATGTGCTCACCTGGGCACTTGGACAGCCCAAATCGGAACATGAATCAGCTCCATCATGTTTTTGATATCGGAGGCTATCAGAACAGAAAAAAGCCTTTTTTCTGTTTTGGAGCCACCACTAGAAATGTCTGGTGTTGTTAAACGTACTTTGCCTAGGACGAATAAGAAATGTAGCCAGCCAAAGCAGAATTGGAAGGGTAAGAAATACATAGACGGGGTTTGGAATTCTGATACTGAGTAAAAAGGCCAATTAACACCGGCCTTCCTCATTTACTGACGTTCTCCACACCTTTTCTGTGTAGGGTAGCCTGGCAGGAGATGTAATTGACAATCTAAATGAATGAACAGTAAAAATATTCGTGGTTTAAGAAAAACCACTTAAAGTAAGGTGGTTGGTGTTGATTTATTTTAATAAGTGATCGTTTACACATGGAAGTCATTTCTGCCTAGAACAGAGTGGTCAAACTGTGGCACTGGAATTTCCAAGTGGAAATCATAATAACTGATTACACCCTGGTAAATGCCGCAGGCCACAGAGAGCACGTGGCTCCTTTTTTATCTCCCTAAGGTCAGCACTGTTGTATATATTTTGAAAATGAGGGGGAAAAATGAAAAAACAGGTGTGATAGTGCACGCCCGTAATCCCATCGCTCTGAAGGCTGAGGCAGGAGAATAAATGCAAGTTGAAGGCCAGCCTGGGCTACAAAGTGAGTTCAAGGCCAGTCCGGACTACAGTGAGACCCTGTCTCAAAAAAAAAGTCGGGGGAGGGCTAAGGTTTGAAGAAAGAAGGGACACAGAAATGGCTGAGCTAGCATAGGGCTGGCCAGCTCCTCTGCCAGCCTTCAACGTTTTTTCTATCACATTTTAATACCTACCGTCCAGCTGACCGAATATAGACAAAAACTTCTGAACAACACACTGATACAGTAAATATGTGCTGAATTAAAACCGTCCCAGAAAAATCTCAGCTCTACAAAAGTCACGCTGGTCAGTGCTGAGCAGTTTCCCTCGATGGGAGCGGCCTGTGAATGTCCCCAGGTCCTGTGAAGGACTCAGCACGTACTGTGCATCAGCCACCAGCTCAGGAGCTGCAGCCCAGGACACAGCTAGAGAGGATGTCAGAGCCAGAGCAAAACAGACAGCGGGCTAAAGACGCAGAAGACACGTCCCTCTTCTACTGTTAGAACGCAAGATTTAGAATTCCATAATTCCAAAATTGGGTGGGGCCAGATTTAGAAAAGAAAACTGATCAGAAGAGAAGATGATTATTAACCTTTGTTTTGTTTGGTTGTCGTTTTTTGGGTGTTTTGTTTTGTTTTCAGACAGGGTCTTGCTATGCAGTTCATGCTGACCTTGGCCTCCCGGCCGCTGGGCTTACAGGTGTGCACCACCACGCCCAGCTGATTGTTCAATTTTTTAAAGCTAATGTCTTTTGTCAGGTGATTGGGAGTTTTAAATCCAGTCATTTTAAATGTTTGCCCTAGGGAAGAACTTTTGGGAAATGTACTTGTTAGAATATTTTTCAGCAATCAATTAGCACGAAAGCCTTAATGTTCTTAAAAGGGTTGAGAATGTAGAACCCTATTCCTCCTCATAAGAGGTTTTGGTTTGGTTTGGTTTTTGGTTTTTGGTTTTCGGTTTTTTGGTTTTGTTTGTGGGTTTTTTTGGTACTAGGGATTGAACTCAAGACCTTGTGCTTGGCAGGCAGGCACTTACACTGCTGAGCTAAACCCTTGGCCTTTCTTTCCTATTTTATTGATGCAAAAGCTAAAATTCAAATTGGGCGTGGTGGCTCATGCCTATAATCCCAGCACTCAGGAGGCTGAGGCAGGAGGATCCTTGTGAGTTGGAGACCAGTTTGGGCTACAAAGTGAGCTCAAGGCCAGCCTGGACTGCACAGAGAGACCCTGTCTCAAAAAGACACGCACACGCACACGCACACACACACACACACACACACACACACACACACACGCTGCAGCTCAGGGCTCCCAGTGGCACCTGGCATACTGTCACATGCATGCTGAACTATAGACTCCAGTTCCAGTGAGCAGGCCTCGAGTGGGAGATCTCATCCCTCAAACACCTCTCTGTTCCTCTCTGCTCTCGCCAGGGCCACTGTCCTTTCAGGGCCACCGTCTCCTCTGACCACTCCTACGAAGCCTCTGTCCTGGTTCACACTGCCCTCCTTAAAACCAGCTTTCCCTCTTCCAAGGTGTCACCGGATACTGTCAAAGCTCTACAAGCCAAGAGTTTCCCCCTACAGTGTCAGGATAGGTTTCATTGTGTGCAGACCGTCCCTGATGTATGATGGTTTGACTTAGGATTTTGTGGCTCTCCGTGGTGCGGAGGTGACAGCATTTAGTACAGGACACACTTTGAACTTTGAATTTTGATCTTGTCTGAGGCAAGCCACACCTAAGACAATCCTTTCTTCTTCTTCTTCTCCTCCTCCTCCTCCTCCTCCTCCTCCTCCTCCTCCTTCTCCTCCTTCCCCTTGAGACAGGGTCTCTTAATTCCAGGTTGGCCTAGAACTCAACAAGATCCTCCTGCCTCAGCCTCTTGAATGCTGTAATCACAGGCATGCACCACCACATCGGGCTCAGACAATACTTTCTGGAGATGGTAGCGGGAGCCCGGGCAATCACAGCTCCTAGTCAAGGCACTGGCATGGGAGCCACCACCAATACTATGTTGCAGTATCTGAGGAGGATTTTATTTTGTTTTCCCCAAGTGCCTGTCTCTTGATTTTGCTCAGACCAGTGCATTTTCCTTGGTAACTCCGTGTTTGTGAGTACACGTGTGCAGTGCGTAAAGATTACAGTTGTCAGGTGTTGGTGGGTGTCCAGGACGCAGCTTAATTCCTTCTGTGTTCCCCTTCCCTCTCCTCCACTTCAGGGTGAGCGGGGCTCCCCAGATGTCGCCTTAGCAAAGCACAGAAATCACAATGAAGAGTAACGAAGGGTTCACGAATGGCTTGGGGACCTGAGTGTGAGGTGAAACGTTGAAGGCAGCGGTTGGTGGACAGGTCAAATGGTGTAGCCATTACAGAAAACAGTAGAATGGTTCCTCAGAATTAAACATAAAATGGATCCAGCGATTGCATATGATCCAGCAATTGCACCTCTTGGTGTGTACCCAAAAGAATTGAAAGCAGGTCTCAAAACAAAACAAAACATATCCACATATGTATTCCAGAGCAGTAGTTGGCGTGGTACTTAGAGTGGGAGGAATCCAGTGTCCAGCAACAACTGAGTGGATAAGCAAGGCATAGGGCATTACACTGTGGAATATTACTCAGCCTTAAAGAGGACTGTGCCGTGATACCGATACCCCTGACATCACACTGTATAAAATCAGCCGTCATGAAAGGGCAGCCACGGTATGGTGCCACAGTGCAGTAGGCAGGCTAGGGTGGTGATGGCAGGGGCGCAGAGGACGGGGTGGGAGGAGAGAGCCCGGCTGTGCCAGGTGGAAAGGAGTCTGTGCACAAACCTAGATCCGAACTGCTCTGGTCATAGGAGCAACATGACTGGTTACTACCAGAGTGGATAGAAATGTTTCCTTATTCCACTTTGGTAACTATTTTACTATTGATCGATACAGTATTTATCCTGTGACATCTTTATCTCTTTTTAAATGCTGGGCTTGGTGGGGGTCCTTTAATCCCAGTACTCTGATTTGTTTCTTTGTTTTTGGTACTGGGGCTCACACTCATGACCTCTCACTTGCAGGCAGGCGTTTGTGATGCTGAGCTAAATCCCCAGCCCCTCACCCTGTGACATCTTTAAGCCTATAGTAAAATTTGTGTGTTAGAAAAC